AGCTGCTACCTTCTGCTGCGTTACTCCTGCTGCTGTCGGTTTCCCTGGCCCTGACGCAAGCGCGGCTGTGGCTGCTGTTCTAGCGACAGAGGCGGCGGAACTAGACAGACCAGACGGCTGGAAACCCACGGTGGTGGACGCTGCAGGTCGCACAGTCGACGATTGCGAGAGAATGCTAGGCGGTGACTTGCCATGCATCTGCTTGTCCTGCAGCGATCCGAACCCTGTCCCCGCCCCAGACACGGCTTGCGCAGCGTTCACATGCGAGATTACTGGCGGGGAATGCGCACTGGCCTGTATCACCCTGCCACTAAGCACTGCTGCGGAAGGTTTGAACAATTGTGGGCCGTTGGATGAGGACCACGAGGAAGATGCTGTGTGTGTGGATCCAGAGGTGGGTTTCGCTGCAGGGACTGATATTGCTGAGGAGACTGTACTGGATGAAGCAGGTTTGGACGCGGATAGAACGACTTTTCCCGCTAGTGACGCCTTCGAGCCCCTGGAAAAGAACGGAGGAGAAAAGTAGCAGCGCACGAGAGCAGGAAACCAGCGTGAAAGAGAATGGAGAGCGTGAGGGCGGAAGAACGACGCAGACGCTCAGGAAAAATGCCCCAACGAGTTGCACAATTTGCCAGAGAGAGTTGTTGAAATCAAGAGCATCATACCACGAGGCGGCTGCAGGCAGCAAGCCTCCAGTCTTGGGTGCTGTTGACGGGCCCAGCGTGAACACCTTAGCTGTCGTTGCTGGATGGCTCGCTGCCGGCACAGCTGAGCTCTGCACACACGAACCAACACAGATGGACTAAGAACCTAGGGGAACAACAACTTTGGCTTCAATGGTCAGAGGAATTAGGAAACTCAAGGTGCACAACACCGTTGACATACAGAATGGGAATTTGGACATGAAACGGCAAAGCACAGATATTAGGGTAACCCAACTGACCTTCTCCATGTGCGTGTCGAGCGAGGGTGGCAGACCATTGGCTGCACGGCGGTTTACAGAATGCGACGGGTCGAAGTACGGAGCTGGGTGCTTGCTGCAACGAGGCATGCAGGACGGCGCGAGAGGGACACAGGAGACGGCACACGAAGCACACGGCAATGGCACATGGCACATGGCTCACATCACACAGCGCACAGCACACAGCACACAACAAATGGGAGACAGAAGACGGAGTTGGTAGGAGAGGCGGTAGTGTGAGGCGGCAGGTGAGGGGAAGAAGGTCCACTAGAAAATAGCGACACTAGCAAGCGACAGGACAAACACAACGCCTTAATAGCCGCCTCTATACGTGCTGAATGTCATGTAATCATTCAGAGACGCAACTAGGCCCACGCGTCTGCAACAACGGCATCATTAAAGACGCACCTGACCCCATGCCGCTGCACCATCTCCTCCTTGGTGTAGCTGTCTTCTTGCGTGCCAAACTCGTGAAGATACAAGCAATCCGGGTTGTTGCATATCTGCCACACCGCAAACTCGCTGCAGACTTCAGCCAAAGGACACCTGGACGCACACCGTCGCATGCAGGATACGCAACAGCTTGCATTACCCTCCTAACTCTAAACTGACACGCGGAACATACCAGATTCTTCAGCCACGCGTTGCAATACTTAGTTGTGCCAAAGCATGCTCTGCACAGACAAACCGATCCAAGCGTACAGGACAGAACAAAGCCTGTTAGGAATTGTACAACTGTCCGAGTCTTCGAAAAGCCAGAACATAAAACCTACTACTCCAAGCGGCAAGTTTCAACACGGGCCAAGCCAGCAGGGCGCACCTGAGGATTCGATTCTCGAAAAGGCATCCATCAACGGCCTGGATGCACCGGAGGGCGTCCTCCTCCCTCAGATACGTCACGTACCTGGTTCAACAAACACATGCACGCACATCACACGTTCATATGCAGGACACACGTTCAAACCACAGGTTCACACACCACACATGCACCACACGTTCACACCATCACACCATGGTGGCGCAAGACAGCTGAAAATCTCCATAAAGTACACACAATATCGTGTGTGTGCGTCCTTATTCTGCCTTATTTTGTTTTCTTTTCCGATTTTTTTTTTTCGTTTTGCTTCTTGAGAGAAATAACTCCTACTGAAAATCTCAATAACGTACACGTTGGCGGAGGGGGGGTGGACGGAGCCGCCGAAGGAGGAATTGGAGCGAGACACGGCCACTTTGACGACCTTGCCGTACTGACCAAAGTAGTCGCGCCGCTCCAGAGTCTGCGGGGAAGAGCGCGAGGGAGAGCGTGAGGAAAAAATCGGCTAAAATTAGCAACAGGTTCGGCGAATGATTGTCCGAAGGCGGTTTGACGAGACGAGCTAGCACGATGCGACGGCGAGAATCTAGGGCATCAGGAAGCGCGGAAACGGCAGCAGGTACGACTCGGTATGCTCACGCAGGTACGACCAACGGATCGATGCAGGAGAACGGTCTAGACTTGGGACTACGCTATAACTCTTCGTCTGCCACGGACAACGGGATGCCGAAGACGTGAACGACTCTCTTCTGCAACCCGCGCACTTCTTGAATCGACTCAACAGCTGAATCGAGTGAGTAGGCTAAACCTGAAGCTGCAACTAACCTAATCGTCTGCGACGGACAGCAAAATTCCGACTTCATAAACGAGATTGACTCAACAACGCGCACCACGAGCAAGTTTAGGGTTGACTCAACAGTCGAATTGGTACAGGCGAGCAGGCTAAAAACCTGAAGCTACGGCTGACCTCTTCGTCCGCAACGGAGAGCGGGATACCGACGACGTAGACAAGATTCTTCTGCACCACGCGCACGTTGCTCAGATGTCGCCGGCCTTCTGCCGTCGCATACGCGCTCTTCGGACGAGACTTCGACTTGGATCGCTTCTCCGACTCGGTAAAACTGCAAGGCCAGACACAAGCAACACATAAAAACATTGCTGCTAAGTATTTTCAGCTCCTGACACAAAACCGTGCATGGTGATGACGCGACGAGACTGGTTGATTACGGTCTTTATGCAAGATAAACCTTGCCGGATGATGACGATGCGAGGTTAATAAAAACTCAGTGACTTACTCGTCAAGATCGGGACCGTTGGATGCGATCTTGTCTTTGCTGTAGGGAGAACGGCAGGCTGGACAGCGAGGTTCTAGATGGTCCTTATTCGCCATCTCCATGATGTGGTGCCAGCACCACAGGCAAATCTGCGAGTCACCACGAGTTACCACAGACAAGCAACGGATGAGACAACACAGGTCAAACTCTATGCTAACCATGATACGAACGTCCTGAACAGCTGATTTTTTGAGTCTGACTCAAACATCGGCTCAAATTTGAGTCGAACGCTCTTAGGAAACGTTCTTAACAGCGGTTTCTAATCCGAACCAAACAAGTCGCGGATGCGGAAATCCTATCAATCGTCCTTAGAAACGGAATCTTAAGCGGACTGGAAAGAGCGGAAAAGCACCTGATAACCGCACTGGCACGGCTGGAACTTCCTGTCTGTGGAATCCATTTCCTCCATGCACAACGGACAAGTGTAATCCGTGTCATCTGAGAAATCCATGGCGAATTTGCTAGAATAATAACCTCTACAAAATTGGGTTCTCTAAGAACTGAACCAGCGCAGGCTTGCTCTGGTTTAATAAAAAAACAGGCTGAGCCGAAGCGGGTAAAAGACGAAGATTAGGTTTCACAGAGCGACCATAGATAGGTTTCACAAAGCGACCATAACTCAAGGGTTTCAGCACGGCGATTGGTAGTCAGCAAGCGTGACTGGATAAAAGGAGAAAATCGAGGCAAGAAAAAAGAGGTAGTAGGAGGAAGGTGGTGCCTTTGTCAGGCTCGGACAAAGCGAGGGAGAAGGCTGGGGTAGTAGGCTCGGCGCTGGTTACGTTAGGCTCGGGTTGCCCAAAGGTGGCCGAGGTTCGGTTCGGCACAATCTAGAAGCGGGGGATTCTTGGGAACATCTGGCTCTTGTATTTCGTGCACGGTCGTTGGGGTGCGAACGAGTTCCGTTCGCCGCTCGCCACATTTCGGCCTCGTTCATGCACCACTGTCGAGGTTGTCACGAAGTGACGCAGCTGCTGGTAACTCATTCGAGAGCTCATCGTCGTTCTGCCTATGGTTCGCGCCAACCGACATCCATGACCCCCATCCTTCCCATGTTGCTTTCTGCCCGCCATGCCCATCTCTACATCCCCATCATCTGCCATCCGTTTGACCAATCAGGTACCAGGAACGCTATTTTGGCAGAGATGGGCGGGTGGGTACACAATCTGGGTGTACCCCAGATGGGTGAGCTTTCGCTACCGACGACAGGATCACGAAACGGGTAACGGGCTACGCAATCGTAACTCTTGCTCAGTGTTCATGTTGGTAAAACGCAATCCACGCTTTCCCATCAAAGCCTGCAAGTTATTTCCCTTTCAGCTACTGCTTGTCCTTGCATCAGATCGCATGATTCACATTTCCTTGCGCTCCCGTTTCCCGCGCATAACGCGAGTCGCAAATAGTCGTCCACTTTCCATTGCGAATCATGTTTCCAACGGTAAGTAAACGTCCAGGTGAAGCGTAACGCCATGCCGTTCAAGTCATCCGCATCGGCAGACGGCCCCGTTTGCTGCCTGTGCGGCGGTAACAGGCACGGCGAGCCGCCTCTAGACGTAGTGCGACGAATCACATATCACGACAGATCTTCCCGCCCAAGAGAGTCATCGAGCGCAGCGGGAGCTTTCCGGATTTCGCTGTCTGGAAAAGCGCGGAGCGGCGGAGACCGCGGGCGCGCGGAAGGGCGGAGCGAGCAGGAGGATGGCGGAGGAAGCGGCGGAAAGGGGGCAGCTAAGGGAGCGGGGGGGAACCACGCGGCGGAGGGGGAGATGCGCGAGATGCGGTGGCCGCCAATGCGGCCGGATCCGCACTTCGCGGACGTGCGCGCCTGGCTGGGTCCGCTGCTGGGGCCCGTGGCGGAGCGGAGCGGCGCTGCTGGCGCGTGGGTTCACCGCGAATGCGCCATCTGGAGCCCCGAGGTGCGCCGCTGTCAGTAGCTGCTGCTGCTGCTGCTGAGAATGATAATGATGACGGCGCTATTACTCCCCCCGTCCTCCCCCCGTCCTCCCCCCGTCCTCCCCCCGTCCTCTCCCCGTCCTTCCCCCCTCCTCCCCTCCTCCTCCCCCCATCCTCCCCTCCTCCCCCAGTCCTCCTCCCCTCCTCCCCCCGTCCTCCCCCCGTCCTCCCCCTCTTCTCCCTCCTCCTCCCCCCGTCCTCCCCCCTTCTCCCTGCTCCTCAGGTCGGGGGTGGCGCTTTTGAGTCGATTCAAAAAATACTTTCACACTGCATCACCCTCCCCCTCTCTGCAGGTGTTCTTCTGTGCGGCGAATCAACTGAAGAACGTGCCTGCTGCCGTGCAGCTTTTGAGGCGTCGCCACTCCCACACCACCCGCACCACTACCAAAGCACCCTACCCCTCTCTCCCCCTCTCCCCAGGTGTTCTTCTGTGCGGCGAATCAACTGAAGAACGTGCCTGCTGCCGTGCGGAGGGGGAGGCTGCTCAAGTGCAGCCGGTGTGGTCGCAGCGGGGCCAACATTGGGTGCCGGGAGGAGCGGTGCCCTCACACGTACCACCTGGTGAGATGAAACGGCGTGACTTGTAACGGATGGCGAGATGAAACGGCAAGGGAGAAGAAGCGCCCCACCACGTACCACCTGGCGAGATGAAACTCTGTGAGTCGTGATGGGTGGCGAGATGAAACTGAGAGGGAAAGAGAGGTGTTCGCATGTGCTGTGCACCACCCGGAGAGATGAAACGGCGTACGTTTCAACTGCCGGTCAGTGAGAAATGGAGAGGCGAGGGAGGGGAGATGTTCGCACTCGTACCACTCGGTGAGATGTTACGGTGGATGTTGAGGCGCCTCAAAACTAGGCTAGGCTATCACCGAGATGAAACGGGAAGTACACGACTGTTTGTTCGACCACAATGATTTCCTCTTATTCTGCCCCTCCACACCTCCTTCCCTTTCCCCGCACATCCCCTAATCCTCCTCCTCCTCCCCCCACCCTCTTCCCTCCCCCCCCAGCCCTGTGCGCGCTACGACGACTGTTTCTTTGACCACACCGATTTCCTCATCTCCTGCCCGCTCCACACTCGCTCCCTCATGCTCCGCCGCCACGGCTCCCACCTGCCCGAGTTCAACGCCTTTTACGGGCAGCCCGCGGGCAGGCTGTCCGGGCAGATGGTGGAACTTTTGTCGGCTGCCCGTGCAGCTGCCCGGAGGGATGAGGAGGCGGAGGCGCAGTGGGAGGAGGGGATGGGGAGTGAGGAGGATGATGAGGATGAGGAGTTTCAGGCAAAGGAGAGGAGGAGGAGAGTGAGGGACCTAGCTAGGGTTGAGCCGGTTCGGCTTGGGGGAGGGGTGACGTGGCGTGCGGCTGCCAGCGGTGCTGCCCTGTCGCTGGCCACGTCAGCAGGTGGTGCTCGTTATCCAGTGGCTGGGCTTGAGAGGCCGGCTGGGGTTGAACCTGGGGGAGAGGGAAGGGGGGGCGGAGGGGGAGGGCGGAGAGGGGATGGAGGGGGAGCAGGGGGAGAAGCAGAAGGGGGGGAGGGGGAGGGATTTCGCGCAAAAAATCCAATTCAAACTGGCAGTGTCTGGGAAAAGGTTGACTGTGCCAAAGCTGAGTGTGACAATGTGGAGTGTGAGAATGAGAGTAAGCCACTAGGGGAACAGTCACAGAGAGCAGCGCACAGCTTGTTGAGTCTGGTGGCAATGCCTGACAGTGGCGGTGATGGTGGTGGCGCTGACGTGGCGACATCTGGTTGGGTGATGGTGCGGTTTGGGGGGGCGGAAGCAAGGGGGCTGGGGGGGAGGGGAGGGGGAAGCGGGGGAGGAATTGGCGGCTGTGATTGGCCCTGACACTCCGCTGGAGGTGCTGTTGAGGGCAAGGGGGGTTGGGGAGGCTGGTCGAGGGGAGGGGGGAATGCAGGAGGAGGGAGTGAGGGAGGGGAAAGTGGTGGAAGGGCGGCTGGATGAGAGGGATGTGGAGCTAGGTAGAGGAGGGAAAGCAGCGGAGGAGGGGAAGAAGAGAGGAAGAGAGGGAAGGGATGAAGGACGAGAGGGAAGAAAGGGAGCAATGGAGCTACTACAGGGCTTGAGTCCCCAAGTGCACCTGGGGGGTGGTGCTGTGGAGTTAGCACTAGGTGGCGTGAGCGGCGAGCGGGTGAATGCGGGGGTCTGTGAGGGAGTGATTGAGGGAGTGAGTGAGGGAGTGAGTGAGGGAGGGAGGAAGGGAGCGAGGGAGGAGGTGGGTGGGGCAACAGATTGGGGGATTGAGGGTGATGGGGAGGGGGAGATGGCAGCAAAGCGGGCGAGGAATACACTGGATTCAGAGGTGCTGGTTGCGTGTAGAGAGGGTGTCTTTGAGATGTCTCAAAAGCGGGCGAGGAATACACCGGATTCAGAGGTGCTGGTTGAAAGGGCAAGGGACACTCCAGGAGCAGCAACGGGAGCTGGTTCTGAGATTTGTCAACAGCAGGCAAGGGTTACAGCAGAGCCTGAGGTGCTGGTTGGAAGGAAGAGGGACGCTCCAGACGCAGTGGACGCTGGGGGGGATGGTTCTGGCGTGAGAGCAGCAGCAGGAGCAGCAGCAGGAGCAGGAGCAGGAGCTGAAGGAGCAGGAGCAGGAGCAGCATTAACAGCAGAAGCAGCAGCAGGAGCAGGAGCTGAAGGAGGAGGAGCAGGAGCAGCATTAACAGCAGAAGCAGCAGCAGAGATAGTAGCCGTGGCAGCAGCATCACCTGTAGTAGCCAAAGGACCACAGTCAACACCAGCAGAAGCATCAGGAGCAGCAGCATCAGGAGCAGCAGCATCAGGAGCAACAGGAGCAGCAGCAGCAGGAGCAGCAGCAGCAGGATCAGCAGGAGCAGCAGCAGCAGGAGCAGCAGCAGCAGGATCAGCACCAGCAGAAGCGACACCAGTAAAAGCAGCAGCACCAACAGAAGCACCACCACCCGCCCCTCCATCCGCCCCATCCACCCATCCCCCCAGCACCCCCGCTCCACTCCCCCACGCCTCCCCGTTCCCCCCATGGTCCGCCATAGGAGGCCTACGTCCAGTCATCCGCTCTCTCACAGAGCTCGTCCTCCTCCCCCTGCGCTACCCCTCCCTCTTCCCATCCCTCGGCATAACACCCCCCCGCGGCGTGCTCTTGCACGGGCTGCCCGGGACAGGGAAGACTCTGGTGGTGCGGGCGTTGGCAGGGGCGTGCGCGAGGGGGGAGAGGGAAGTGGCGTTTTTTGCGCGGCACGGCGCGGATTGCCTTGGGAAGTACGTGGGAGACGCGGAGAAGCATCTACGGCTGTTGTTTGAAGTGGCGAAGCAACGTCAGCCGTCGATTATATTCTTTGATGAGCTAGATGGGCTGGCGCCGGCCAGGGGGGCGAATCAGGACCCCACTCATAGCTCTGTGGTGGCTACGCTTTTGGCGCTTCTTGATGGGTTGGATTCAAGGGGTGCGGTTACCGTTATTGCTGCAACCAATCGGATTGATGCCATTGATCCTGCCCTGCGCCGCCCGGGCAGGTTCGACCGCGAGATTTTCTTTCCGCTGCCCGGATTTGCGGGCCGGAAGGCGATTTTGAGGGCGATAACGGGGGGGTGGGGGCCGGGGGTGGCACCTTCCGGGAAGGTTCTGGAGGAGCTAGCGAAGAGGAGTGAAGGATTTGCAGGGGCAGATCTTCGGGCAGTCTGCAATGATGCACTTATGGCTGCCCTGAGAAAAACGTTTCCCATGGACAAGGCTTTGGCTCTGGATGTGCTGCCCGGGAGTGAAAAGTTTGGTGCTGGGCAGCCCCAGCTGCCCGGAGCAGGATCACCTTCTTGTCCACGTGGCACAGGCTCATTGGTGCCAGCGAAGGTGTCTCGTCTGCCTGTCCCTGAGATCCACGTGGAGGCCTGTGATTGGCTGGAAGCACTGCAGCTGGCACAAGTGCCCTGTGCCCTCCGAACTGCAGCTGCCAGCTTCGGCAAGTTAGGTTCGGCTGCCGTGCCTGGGTACCTGTTACCGATCCTGGCCCCTGCCTTGATTCGGCTGGTTCGTGCACTGGTTGAGACAGCCGGGGTTGGGAAACAGCAGGAGGTAATTGAAATGAGAACCAATGACATTATGGGGAGGGGAGCAGGTGTGAGATGTGACTATATGCAAGGTGGTTTTAGGGGAGGGGGCAGTGCAGACAGTGAAAGATGGAAGATGGTGGGGAGGGGAGATGAGAGAGCAGGGGATGAGGAGGAGTGGGTGGTGGGACGCGCGTTGGAGATGCTGGGGTGGGTGGAGAGAGGAAAAGACAGAGGCACACAGGCTAAAGATGTGAATATGGAGAGGGGGGAAGAGGGAATGGGAGGGGAGAAAGAGGGGGAGGAGAAGGAGCAGGGGCCGGAGGGAGGGGAGTGGGGGGACGAGGAGGAGGAAGAAGGGGATGAGAAGGAAGAGGGTGGTAATTCACCGTTTGGGTTGTGGCAGTGGGAGCAGCAAGCAGGGGGAACGGGGCAGGGGCAAGGGCAGCCATTGCAGTGCCAGGGGCAGGGACAGAGGCAGGGGCAGAGGGTGGTGGTGTGTGGGAGGGGCGAGCAGGGGCAGGCGCATGTGGGTGCAGTAGCAGCCAAGCTTCTCTGCCCCCGAGGCACACAGTCATTTGCAGAGGCGTGCAGAGTGGTGCAGATGGAGCAGAGGGATTTTCCAAGTGGAGAGCGGTGCAGAGAGGTTGGGAGGGGGAGGGTGGGGTGTGGGAGGAGGGGAGGAGGGGAGGGGGCGGTGGTGGTGGTGGATGTACCGGCTATGGTGCTGCTGGGGCATGGAGACATGGCTGCAGGCATGCGTGCTCTCATAGGTGCGTTGAAGGAAAATGCTTGTGTCACTTCTGGGGATTTTCAAGAAGGGGCGGTGGTGGTGGAGGTGGATGTGCCGGCTATGGTGCTGCTGGGGCAAGGGGACATGGCTGTTGGCATGCGTGCACTCTTAGGTCAGCCTCCCTCCCATGCTCTCATGCTCCACGTATCTAGTGCTCTAAAGCTGTATGCTCTGTTCTTCCTGCGTCCACATGGGTGCAGCCAAGGGGACTTTTGAGTCGACTCAAAAGTCAAAAGTCACCTAGAGCTGTCTGCTCTGTTCTTGCTGCATCCACATGGGTGCAGCCATGTGCACACTTATATATCAATGCCTCCTCTTGTGTTATCATCTTGTGTGTCTGCTTTTCCATCAGCTTTCCCTTTCTAGAATGCCGCAGGTGTCTTTCTGAGGCACTGCAGATTCTCTTCTCCCCTCTCCCGATTCCCTTCTCCCCTCTCCCGATTCTCTTCTCCCCTCTCCCGATTCCCTTCTCCCCTCTCCCGATTCTCTTCTCCCCTCTCCCGATTCCCTTCTCCCCTCTCCCGATTCTCTTCTCCCCTCTCCCGATTCCCTTCTCCCCTCTCTTCCGGTTCGCAGAGCAAGCAAGATCCATGGCGCCCTGTGTGCTGCTGCTGCCACGTGTCAACACATGGGTGGTGCAGGGGTGGAAGGATGGGAGAGGCATGGGAGTGGATGGGGAGGAGGAGGATGAGGAGGAGGAGGGAGGGGTTAATGGGGAGAGGTTGGAGGAGGAGGAAGGAGGAGGGGAGGTGAGTGAGGGAGGGGATAGTAAGGAGAGCCAGGAAGAGGAGGAAATGGAGGAAGAGGAGGAAGAGGACGAGGAAGAAGAGGGGGATGGGAGGGAAGGCAGGGTATCAGGGGAGTGGGCATCATTTGAGCAGCTGATGGCAGGGGTGGAGTCTCAGCTAGCGTCCTCTGCTGCTCTGTTCATGCACTCTTCCCGTGCCAATGCGGCTTGCATTCACGTCGTGGTGAGTCCAGCCGTACCAATCCGTTGCCATGGCATGAGGGAAACGCAGAGTATCAGGGGAGTGGGCGTCGTTCGAGCAGCTGATGGCAGGGGTGGAGTCTCAACTGGCGTCCTCTGCTGCTCTGTTCATGCACTCATCCCGTGCCACTGTTGCCAGCATTCACATCGTGGTAAGATGCATGTGTGTTGTGGGTCGAGTTCTAGCACAGCGGGTGGGGGTGTCAGGCGAGTGGGCGTCATTCGAGCAGCTGATGGCAGGGGTGGAGTCTCAACTAGCGTCCTCTGCTGCTCTCACGCCTTGTCCCGTGGCCATGCGCCCGGAATTTCACGTTGTGGTGCGTCCTGCCATGCCATACCATGCGGTGCCGAATTATGCCATGCCATGCTGTGCAATGCCATGCTGTGCCATGCCATTCCAAAACCCCGCTTTTCTTTCCCTGTCTTTTTTTTTCTGTATTTATTTTTCTGTAATTTTCTTTTGTTTCTATCATCCACTTCACCCTCACCCAGGCCACCTCAGAGGTCCCTCTCTCTGCCCTCCCATCGCCGGTGCAACGATTTTTCCTGCCCCCCTCCTCCTCTCCCCGCTCCCCCTCGCCCTCCCCCTCCTCTGCCCTCTCCTCTCCTCCCTTCTTCCGTCCCTCGCATCATCATCACTCCCCGTGTCTCTCCCCGCCTCCCTCAACCGAACCATCTCCTCTAAGCGGCCTTGGGGCAAAGGCAAGTGGACAGAGCTTGGTGACTGTGAGTGGGAGTGGCCGCATAGTGCTGACTCTGTCTTCTCTCCCCTCCTGCTGCTTGCAACAGTCGCTCATGGTGGGTGGTGGTGGGGGCAGTGTTGGGGGAGGGGGAGGAGGGGCAGCAGGACAACGAGAGGGAGGAGAGGAGGAAAATGGTGAGGGAGAGAGGGTTGAAGGGGTGGGGGCAAGTGGTGTGTGTGGGAAGGCATGTCTTGGGGATGACAAGAATGAAGAGAACAAGGAGGAGGAGGGAGGAGGAGGCGGAGCGGGAGGAGGGGGGAGAAGGAGGGAGGAAGCGGATGATAAGGCGTGTGTTGATGGGGATGGGACGCGTCAGCAGGAAGAGGAGATTGCAGGATGCAGGACAGGTGGCGAGCTCTCATTGGCCGGGAGGTGGAGGGCGGCAGTGGGCATGGCTGCTCGGCAATTGGCGTGGGAGGTGTGGGAAGCGGTGGAGAGAGGTGCTAGGGGAGAGGTGTTGGCAGGGAGGAGGGGCATGGGGGGTAAGGGGAAGAGGGGGGGAAACGGGGAAGGAGGACCGTGGGAAGAGGAGGGAAGGAGAGTTGGGAAGAGAAGGAGAGTGGAAGGAAGGGGTGGAGATGGGGAGGGTGGTGATGGGGACGGGATGACTGGGAGGGAGGCCGAGGGGCGAATCGACATTCCTGACGGGGAGCTGCAGAAGCAGCAGGAGCAGCAGGGGCATCAGGGGCAGCAGGGGCAGCAGGAGCAGCAGGGGCATCAGGGGCAGCAGGGGCAGCAGGAGCAGCAGGGGCATCAGGGGCAGCAGGGGCATCAGGGGCAGCAGGGGCATCAGGGGCAGCAGGGGCATCAGGGGCAGCAGGGGCATCAGGGGCAGCAGGGGCAGCAGGGGCAGCAGGGGCAGCAGGGGCAGCACGCACAGGGTGTGTGGCGAACAGAGGCAGAGCGGCGGCTGCTGGGGGGGTTGGCCTGGTGCGGGCTGTACCTGCTTCATCACCCCTCACTCTCTCCCCTCCGTAAATTCTCCTCCTCCCTCCCCCGTGCCCCCCGATTCGTGATTCAAGGGGAAGGGGGACGGGCGGGGAGCAGAAAGGAGGAAGGTAGGAGAGGGAAGAAAGAGGAGCGGAGACGGCAGAGGAAAGAGAGGGAGGGGGGTGTGGGGAGGAGAGAGGGGAGGAGGGAGGGGAGAAGGGAGGGGAGGATGGGCAGTTGGGCCAAGGCGGAACGGCCTACTAGAATGAGTAGCAGACTGAGAGAGAGGGAGAGGGAGAGGAGGAAAATGGAGAGGGAGCAGAGGAGAGAGGAGAGAGAGAGGAGGTCTGGGGAGTGGGAGCGGAGGAGGGGGAGGGTGAAGAGGCGGCGGGAGAGCGAGGGAGGGACGGGAGGTGCGAGAGGGAGGGAGGAGAGTTTGTTACACATTCCTGAGAATGACACGCTCTTGTATCCTACTCGTTGGATGCAAGAAAGGGGAAGAGATGGTGGGTTTTACAGTCCCAGAAGCGGCAGTCTCAGGAGCGGCGGGGGTTTCCTCCTCTCTTCACTCACGGGGATAAGGCCAAGCATTATCAGTGGTTGTTGTCGCTCATTAGGAGGTCCAAGGAAAGGAGGAGAGGGAGGGAGAAGAAGAGGAGGAGAGGGGAGAAGAAGAAGAGGAGGGGACAGGGGAAGAGGAGGAGAGGTGCGGGGGTTGGCAGCGGTAGCAATGAGGCTGCTGCATGGAATGGTGCGAGATCCAGAGGAGATGCAGCAGCAAATACAGAGGGTGTGTGGCCCGGCTCTAGACTCTGTGAGCCGTGATGTTGCGAGGGTGACACGCTGGGGCGTTGCTTTTGAGTCGACCCAAAACACACCTGGTTCCCACAGCCACTATCAAACTGATGCGCAGCAGCAGTGGAGTGCGGAGCATGTGTGGGCGGTGCAGCGGGCGTGTCGCATGGAGCAGCAAGTGAGAGCGCTACAAGACACAGTGGCAGCGTGGGTGCACCTCATGGCTCCCATGCACGCTGCTGCTGCTGCCTCCACCGCTCACCTACCCCCTCCTCCTCCCCGGCTTTCCCTTGCCCCCCCACACACTGGTCACGCTGGTCAGGCCCGTGTGTCACACCAACCCCCTGGCGTGTCAGAGCGAGAGCACGGTGTGTCAGAGCGAGAGCACGGCCGCCGATCCTCGTACACCTACCAGCACCGGCAGCATCGGCAGCTGCCGCGGCAGCAGCAGCGCGAGGGCTTTAAGCAGCACACTCCCCTTCCTGCAGCGGCTGGCGCGGCGGCCGGTCGAGCCTCTGCTTTACCCTCACCCTTTCTCCCCTTCCCATCCCCCTCTGCACCTAACCTCCTTCCCAGCACCTCACCCCCTTCCGGCATGCCTCCCTTTTCAGCCCTCTCCAGCCCAGCTCTGCTGCTCCCTCCTGTGTCCACACCAGGCAATTACCCCCTCGTTCTCGCTCTCCCCGCGCCGTTTCCGCTGCCGTTCCCTCCCTCCGCAGCCTCTCTCTCTCCCCCACCCGTCTCCACGCCCCAACCCTTCTCCACACCTCCATCCTTCTCTGAACCCACACCCTTCTCCACACCCCATGGAGAGGTCTATCACTCTGAACCTACTGCAACCGCGCCATTCTCCTTCGATCCACCGGTTCTGGCTGCTGTTGCTGCGGTTACTTCTGCCGCCGCTGCTGCTGCCACTTCTGCTGCTCCTGCTCCTGACTCTGTTGGTGCCACTGCTGCAACTTGTTCTGCTGCTCCTGCTCCCGCTACTCGTGCGACACCTGTTGCTCCCACTGTTGCCCCCGCTGTTGTCGATGTTTCCACTGGCCCTGCTGCTGCCCTAGCAGGCGCGCTGTCTCCTGCAGCTCCTCCGGCGACGGGCCTTGAGACGTCTCGAAACTCGCTAGCAGGCGCGCTGTCTCCTGCAGCTCCTCCGGTGACGGGCCTTGACGTGCTGAGGCGCCCTGGACTTGCGTGGCGGGGGAGGGAACGGGGTGAGGGAGCAGCAGATGGGCTTGGTGGGAGTTCGGGGAAAGGGAGAGAAAGGAGAGAAGGGAGAGAAGGGAGAGAAGGGAGAGAAGGGAGGGAAGGGAGAGAAGGAAGGGAAGGGAGGGAAGGGAGGGAAGGAAGAGAAGGGGGAGAAGGAAAGGATGAGGGAGAAGGGAGAGAAGATAGAGATAGGAGAGAAGAGAGGGATGGAAGAGACGGGAGAGAAGGAGGAGATGGAAGTGGAGGGTGCGAGCAAGCATGTGATGCGGTGCTGGTGAGAGGAGGAGGAGTTGAGAGCGGTGGTTCTAGGTTAATGCAAGGAGGAGCGGCAGGGGAGGAGGGTGGGGAGCAAGGAGCAGAGGGTGATGGGGGAGTAACTGTAACGCCAGAGGTGATACTTGGGGAGACTTTTGAGGCGCCTCAAGAGGGTGATGGAGGAGTAACTGTAACGCCAGAGGTGATACTTGAGGAGGAGGTGGAAGGCGGTGCGGCAGGCAGTGGTGCTGAAAGGGAAGATATTGCAGAGAGAGGGAGTAATGAGGGTGAGCGTGAGGATGCGGATGGGGACAGGACTGGCACGGGCAATGGAGGGCGATGTGGCCTTGCAGGTGCAGAGGCGGATAGCCTTGCGGAGGGAGATGAGAGGGAGCAGGAGGCAGAGGAGGAGGGGGGTGAAAAGGGGGACGAGGATGAGAAGGATGGGAATGGGGACAGGACTGGCATGGGCAATGAAGGGCGATGTGGGCGTGCAGGTGTAAAGGGGGGTAGCCATGAGGAGGGGCAGGAGAGAGAGCAGGAGGGCGAGGAGGAGGATGAAGAAGGGAACGAGGAGGCGCGTGAAGCAGGCAAGTGGTGGGCGGAGGAGGATGAGGAGGGCACGAGGGAGCAGGAAAGAGGGGTAGCTGGAAGAGCAGAGCAAGAGGCAAGGGTCGAAGGGGATGGCCAGACGGTGGGTAAAGGCAGTGGTGGGGACGACGGTGAGGGTGTCTCTCCCCACCGCAGTGGGGATGGCATGGGTGCTGTCACTCGCACACCTCTCAACCGCAAGGCACTGCACAGCACCGCTCCGTCCCGCAGCCCCGTCCGGCCCCCACCGGCGTGCTTCCACTTGCTTGAAACAGCTCTCGAGCTCTGCCTCTCCCACCTGCTGCTGCTGCACCCCACTCTCCCCACACATAGCCCCCTGCTGCTGCAGCAGCAGCGCCACCATCAGGAGCATCACCAGCAGCAGCAGCAGCACCCTTTGTACAGTCACACTCTCACAGACACTGACCCTCGCACATGCAGTCATCATCAAGCCCTCCTGTCCACGTCACGCGGCGGCGCAGCTGCGCCAGTCACGTGCGGCCAGCTGGAGCGAGCAGTGCGCCAGCTGGCAAGCATGGCCACAGCTGCTGTGAGGCGAGTGCGGTGCGGTCATACCTCATTTGCTGCCGTTGATGCTGCTGCTAGTGGTGCTGCTGGTGGTGCTGCTGCTGCGTCCGCTGCTGTTCCTTCTGCTAATGGCGGTGATGGTGGTGGTGCTGGTGGTGGTGGTGCTACCCCTGGTGCTGCCACAGCTCCATGTGCTCATGCGTCTGGTGATGAGGGTGGGCTGTGCTTGAAGCATGTAGCACATGCCGTACAGCAGTGCATGGTGTTGCTGATGTCAGCATTACACAATGCGGCCGAAAATCAGGATGCTATTGAAGCTGATGGCAGTGATGGCTCGTGATGACGCTCGATAGGTGAAAAGGATGTATAGTGAAGTGAAAAGGGGAGAATATGTTTATGTGGGTTGCAATGCCAAGTGCGCATTCTGTTTTTCCTGTACATAGCTAGTGATAATCCAGCCAATAGTTTAGCCCTGTTCCTTATCCTGTTGTGTACATGTTGTGCCTGCCTTAATTCCCTTTTTACATCAACCGGAAGAAAGGAAGATCACAACAGTGTGTTCATTCATAAATTCCTTTGCTCCTGCTAACCTGAGAAGAATATGGTAAATCATTATTACATCACTCTAACCATCGTATTTTACCACATTACTCAAATCTCAACGCTTCAGAGAAGATTACACGAGTTATAACGAATTACGCTTTCACACGGGTTTCAGGCTGGGGTGATGCTTCTGGTGGTGTCTGCGCTTCGACAAATTCCCGCCTTCAACACTGGAACACATTGGCCACGTCATCAGTCTTGCTGCTTCCCACTTGCCAGTGAGCATCTGACGTCCAGCTGGGCCTTGCTCAGTTAGCCGGCGTCAGTGTCTCTGTTTGCCCAGTCATGCCAGCGGCTCGACGCGGATGTCTGGGGGGAGATCTGTTTGATGCGACGCCGCACGAGGTTTGGCGAAGCCAAGTGCGGATTTGCTACGGACCGTGGATGATGGGATGAGATTTCGTCCGGATGTGTTTGCTGGTTACGCCCTTTCGTGAGTCATAGTTACCAAAATCTTGAAGCTCGCAAACTCAAGCTCACTGAACATTCGTCGTCTCCACCCGCGTCATGCTGCTCTTTCCCTTTCAGAAAGTTTGGTTTCAGGTGTTGGTTACGGTCGCAAGCGGTTTTAAGAAAAACCGCTGTGTACCGTGTAGGAACGTATCGTAACGCATTGGACCAACGTACATGTGCGCGATATCAACTAAATCCACTTCCACATGCCATTTCTTTCTGCTAGTGTGACAACCCACCCTACGCATCCTGAAGCAGGACAAGGCAGCACCTTCACCTCTACCAAGAAGTTCGGAGACACGTTTCGGAGTTCCTACTTTCTTCCTAGCGTAAGCTATAAGCATCAAAATTCCCGGTAATCTGCGTTCTAAACCAGCGTCGCTCGTTACATCTGTGCAAACCGACCTGGAAAAGGCAGTAGAGTGGTTTTGCGAAACGGAGATAGTCGCAGGTAGACAAACATTCCCGCGCCTTAACTACAATAACATGACGTGCCGCACGATCAGTTTAGACCGTTGTTACTTCAGCACATTTCTCTTTCTTCTCCTCCTCCTCAACACTTCCTATGCGCAACTCGAATCTCAAGATCCCTTCACGTCGCTACCTGACGACACAGGCGAGCTGGTTCAAGGCAGCGCGCCGTCTATGTCCGCCTCGGATTTCCTCGCCGCCGCGAATCAGATCACAACCGATAAAATCCAGTCGATCCGCATGCGAATCTACCAGCAGTTCGTCCAAAATCTCGCCATGAAAGGCGCGAGCACGGCCGCGCTGGGCCAAATCGTCGACCTGCCGCAGCCGCCATTCACCAACATGACTCTCCAACTCGTGAAGCTCAAACTCTCTTCGCTCGTCGCGAATGGGTTTCTCTTCCACGAGTTTTTCATTCCGCCGGGAATCCAGGTCTCCACGAATCCGGACCTCGTCGTGCTGTTGTATAACCAGATTCCAGTCACCTTCGCGCCGTACAGACCACCGACTAGTTACTCCTATTCGCCGTATTTCGCCGGGGTTGACATCCTTCCGTACGTTAACGACACGACGAAGGCTCCGGGGCCGCTGCTTGTGCGAACGAGCCCGTCGTTACCAATAACTGTTACATTTCCTTTCGACGACTCTCAGCCTGGTTACGTTCAGTGCACTACGTTCGGCCTGCTCGGCGCGCTTATCCCTCTCAACCAATCACAGGACAGCACACCCACGCGAGTTATATGCGAGAGCGTCACCCTTGGGGAATTTACCCTCACAATCGGCTCCAACCCATTCCCTTCACCACCGCCTCCCCCGCCGTCCCCTCCGCCCCCCCCGTCCCCGCCAACTCCGCCAACCCCCACTCCGCCTTCTCCGCCCGCAACCACCCCCGCCGACAACGGCGGGTCAAGCGGCCTGACAATCGGGTTAGCGATCGGACTCGCGATACCGATTATTCTCCTGCTTGTGCTGGGCGCGTGGCTGATCTGGCAGCTGCTGCAGCGCGGGCGCTACGAGAAGATGGAGCTGGCGGCGGAGCGCGCCGCGAACCTCGAGACCGCGCTCATTGCGGGGCAGCGTGCGCCGTCCGCGCCCGCCGTGCGCACCAGGGGGGCGCTGGAGGACGAGGCGTGAGCGTGGGGGAAGGGGCGCGGGGAGGGGAAGTGGGAATGCGCGGACGTGGAGGAGTGAGGGGGAGGAAGGGGTCAGGGGAGGGAGAGGGGGAGGAGGGGGGGGGATGGGGGAGAGAAGAGGAGAGGATGGTCAGAGGGTAGGAGCGGGGGATGAGGTGGTGGTATGGAACAGAAAGATTTTCGGCTCTGGGCATGCTTCAGAGAGACGGTGGGGGAACGAAATGCTCAAGGGAGGTGGAGTTGATGGGGGATCTTACTCCGAATAGGGTGTATTTGAATGGTGGAGGTGGGGGGGAGAGGGTGGGGTTGGTTGGGCAGGGATAGGAGTGTGTGAGGAACAAGCGTGCATGTGGTTGTTGTGGGGGGGGATGACTGGATGTGCGTTTGTACTTGTCATGTTCTGGTGCGTGCATTAGGATGGGGTGGGGTGTGGGGGGGAGAGAGTGAGGAAATGCTGCAGGGTGCATGCAGCATGACAGGTAGCTGATGGCGCATCCAGTAACCAGGCAGGTTAGGTATAATTTTGGGCCCTGGTATAAGCCTTCCAATTTTAGGGCCAGGACCAGGTTCAATGTCTGGCCTGAACGTATTGTACCTAAGCGTTATGCCTCGTAATGGTAGTACATGTGTTCCAGTATCGTGTATCATTATTCTGCCAGCACATACACAGCTCGGGCAAAGCTACTAGTGTCCACATTCCAAAACCGTCACCGTCACTGTTTTACATGCCATGGGCACACTGACCAATTCGAGCAATTAAAGAACTGCCATGTGTGTTTGTAGAGCAATTACAGGACTGGCCAATACCGTAAGAAGGTTCAGCATACTCAAGTCCTAATGAAAGGGTGGTCAGATATCCAGCAAAGGTCATCGTGTCAAGTAACAAGGCTGAAGGAACAAGCCCAGCTTATATACTAATCCATAATCTGCTGACAGGCTCGGAGAGTGCCGCAAACAAGACCAAAACCACGACTAAGTGCAGGTACAGGTTCTTCACGTCAGCAGCACTCATGCAGTATACTGGGAAATACGGCTCCAACCAAAATACAGAGGCTGATTTGCATGTCACACAGTCACTGGCTTCAGGTACATTTTGTGAATACAAATACAGAAACTATTTACGCAACCAGCCTACTCAAATGCTTCTAGGACTATCAGCAGTGTGCCATGATGCTCTACAGGAATGGCGTGGGAGGAGAGGCAGCCATGCATGCTACATTCCCCACTCCTCCACTCCGCCACCCCCTTTCCTCCTCTTCCCTCCCACACTGTCGTCCTTGCCTTCCATTGTAATCCACTTCCCTCTAGCTCCTGACAGACTGCAGATGGCATGGTAAATGCCACACCATGACATGCCACACCATGCCATGCCACATAATGCCACGCAACACTATCCATGCCACACCATGACATGCCAAAAACTGACATGCCACACCATGAGATGACACACAATGACATGCCCACACCATGCCATGCCCACACCATGCCATGCCACACCATGCCCTGCCACACCATGCCATGCCACACCATGCCATGCCACACCATGCCGTGCCACACCATGCCGTGCCACACCATGCCGTGCCACACCATGCCGTGCCACACCATGCCGTGCCACACCATGCCGTGCCACACCATGCCGTGCCACACCATGCCATGCCACACCATGCCGTGCCACACCAATCCATTCCACACCATGACATGAAAAATGGTCACACCATACAACACCACATGATTCCATACCAGACACTCAGTGTCACACTAGATCACACCACACCATGTCACACCTTTCTATTAAATTGTGTTACGAACAGAACCATCATATGCCACACCATGACCTGCCAAACTAATCATACCGCAAATGCTGACCACACTGTACAATACCACATGCCACTCTAATTCACACCATTCTGCATACCGCACTGTACCACACCACACTGTATTGCACCACTCGTACCATACATCATGCCACAATGTTTCACACCACACTAAACCATATCGCACTGTATCACTTCACACTGTACCATACCACACCTTATCAAACCGCACAGCATCATATCAAATGATCATACCACACAACATCATACCATTCTGTACCATACCACACGGTAACATACCACATGGTACCCCAACACACTGTATCATGCTGTATCACACCACATCATGTCACATCACACCATAACACATCATACGATGTCACACAATACCGTATCATACCATACAAATACGGTGTGATAACACATTATCTCACTCACACCATACTATGTCACACCAGAAATTATCACACCATATTATATCATACCATACAGCATCATACCACATTGTATCATGCCCCACTGCATCATACCACAGTATGTCAAACCACACCCTACAATGTCACACCAGAATTTGTCACACGCAGACACAGAATCACACCGTGCAGTATCATACCACATAATGTGTCACACCACACTACGTCACACCATACTATGTCACACCATACTATGTCACACCACACTATGTCACACCACACCATCATACCATACTAGATCACACTGTATCATACCACACTATACACCCCCCTCCCACCTTCACCTGACAGCCCACTCCCTTTCGGAAACAAAACCCTCAAGGAATGTGCCTTGTGGAGCGAGGTGTGGCAGTGGAAAATCGCTTCCAGCCCAAGACTCAAATCCCACCCCTGACGTAGCTAGAGCTGACGCGAACCAGAGTCGCCGGCCGGTCGACTCTGACGGTGTCCATTAAGCTTTGAACGCCCGATCGGTTACTTGAGCACCGAGTGCCGTGCCGCGCAGATTCCACCCACCACACCCCGACCCACAAGCCACAACCCCAGGGGGTGCTGCCCCTTAGAAAGTGAACTGCCCGCTTGCTCCCATGCCTCCCACCCACCCCCTCCCTTCACCCCATGCCTCCTTACCTCTACCTACCACAACGGAACAGAGCGAAATGATGCCTGAGGCTGCTGGGAAGTGGGGGGACCGGGGAATGGGGGGGTTCACAGACGGCAGGATTCCACCGTGGTCCAGGCAGGGTGCTGCTGGGAGGGAAGGGAAAAAGGAAAGAGGAGGAGGTGAGTGAGACGGTGGACTCCCCTCTCCCTTGCTCCAGTGCTCCCACTCTGAGGCTGCAGAGAAGAAACGGGGGAGAAAGAGAGGGGAGAGGACCAGGTCACCATACCTCACGCTCACCTTGTACCATACCGAACCTTTTACCACACCTCCCCACACCTTGACCTAGCTTAGCCTCCTCTCTATCCCCCACCCCCCACTGCTGCTGCTGCTGCTGCTGCTGCTGCTGCTGCTGCGGCTGCTGCTACTGCTGCTGCCGATCTGCTGCTCAGCTTCCTCTGCTACAGTCTTCGCTCGATGCCAAGTGACCTGGTAACGGGCATGGAGAGGGGGGAAGGGGACAGGAGAGGCAAGGCAGGAGGAACTGGTGAGTGGGAAGAAACTGATAAGAGACTTAAGCTGACAGAGACGAGAATGGAAAGAACAAAGAGACAGTACCTTGAGAACTCGAGGGAGGTAGGGATGAGGCCAAGGAGGGAGCTGACGTACCTTGAGTTGAGAGGCCAAGCCCAACCCCATACTCTCCCTTGTGGCAGCGATTCAAGTCTGCTGCAGTGCTGCCTCCCTCCCATCCCCATGCACACCTGCACGGCCACAGGGGAGGGGAATGAGGAGCATTAGTGCTGACCCTAAACAAGGAATACGAGTAAGTGCATGCAGCAGAACATGAATCATACAAAAGTGAGGAGCAGAGCAAGTGAGGCGAGAGGGGGTTGGCACTCACACTGACAGGAGGAGCAGAGAGAAAAGCCCCCTGGCAGGGCTGTGGACAGGTGAGTTGACCCTTGGGCGAGCAGTTACGCTGGGAAGTAGCAACTGCCAGGCAAGCAGGCAAGGGCGGGAGAAGCGAGTGAGTGCATGGCCAGGAGTCATGTGCATGGAGGGTGGCGGTATGAGCCCGGTGTGAGCATGACATGAAATGCTTTTGAGTCGATTCAAAAGTAAGAGCACGGTGAGAGCATGGCATGAAATGAGACGGGGCATGCTGCAGTGCCAACACGCCCTCCACAGGAGCCAAGTACCACACCTTCACCTTCCACCTCAGCCATAACCATTCCCTTAACTACCCTTAACCTACTGTACCACCACTTAACCCTACATTAACCTTAACCATAACGGGGGGAAGCTCTGTGGAGGGGTGGTTGGCATGAAGCAAGGAGGAAGGCGCGAAGGGGAGGGTGGCATGGCAGTGCAGGGACGTTGGGATGCGAGACTGAAGGGACTAGAAAAAAAGGGCGTGGGCTTATCTTTGTGTGCAGCGTTGAGGATGCCTTGCTGCGCCTTGCTGCTGCGCCTTGCTGCTGCCCGTTGTGCCTTACTGCTGCCCGTTGCACCTTTCTGCTGCCCGTTGCACCTTTCTGCTGCCCGTTGCACCTTTCTGCTGCCCGTTGCGCGTTGCTTCTGCACCTAGTTGCAGGGCAGGCTTCGAGCAGAGAGCCTGGCAGACGGGGGGAATGGGGGAGGGCGGGGGTAGAGAAGAGGGGAGGGAGCGGGGGGATAAAAAGAGAAGCTATGGAGGAGACAAGGGGCGGAACGCATGCATGTGCAGAGGGTGATGGAGAGAGCATGGGATGGCATGACACAGTCACACGGGGGATGATGCCCATTACACCCTCCACAGCAGCCAAGTACCAAACCTTCATCTTCCACCTGAACCATGTCCTGAACCTTTACCTGAATAGAAAAGCCTGAACCTTACCAAGGGGGGAAGCTCTGTGGAGGGTTGGTTGGCATGACAGCAAGGAGGAGGGCGGATGGGGGGATGGCAGTGCAGGCAGGGGACACAGGTATTCAAACAAGAGCATGAGCTGAAACGGAAGCAGAGCGGTATGCAACCAAGGGTGTGGGCTTCTCTTTGTGTGGAGTGTTGAGGGTGCCTTGCTGCCCCTTGCTGCTGCACTTTGCTGCTGCACTTTGCTCCTGAGTCCTGACCCTTCCTTCTCCTCCTTGGGGCTGAGACTTGGACTGCAGGACAGGGTTGATGATTTCGAGTCGACTCAAAAATCATCTCATCACACGCGACTTGGACTGCAGGACAGGGTTGATGATTTCGAGTCGACTCAAAAATCATCTCATCACACGCGACTTGGACTGCAGGACAGGGTTGATGCGAAGAGCCTGGCAGTCAGGAGGAGGAGGGGGAAGGGGAAAGGGGGGGGAAGGGTAGAAGGGAGGGAAGAGGGAAGCGACCAGGAGTGAGTGAAGGGCTGCTCTGAAGGACACAAGGGGCGGAATGCGTGCGGGCATGGGATGGCATGAGATGGGTCATGGAGCCGTGCCATGCCAAGCATGCCCTCCACAGGAGCCGAGCCGAGTACCAAACCTTCACCTTTCACCTCAACCTTAACCCAAAGAAAACTTGAACCTTTACCAAGGGGGGAAGCTCTGTGGAGGGCTTGTTGGCATGACAGGGAGGAGGAGGGCGGATGGGGGATTGACAGTGCAGGAAACATCGGGTTGATTTTTGAGTCGACTCAAAAAAGATTGACAGTGCAGGAAACATCGGTTTTCAAACAAGAGCTCGAGCTGAAAAAGAACCAGAGCGGGTGTGAAACCAAGGGTGTGGGCTTATCTTTGTGTGCAGCGTTGAGGGTGCCTTGCTGCCCCTTGCTGCTGCCCTTTGCTACTGCGCCTTGCACCCTTGCAGCTGCGCCTTTCTCCTGACCCTTGCTTCTGCGCCCTGCTGCAGAAGCAGAAGCAAGATACTTAGACTGCAGGATACTTAAAGCGGAGAGCCTGGCAGTCAGAAGGGGGGAAGGAAGGGTAGAAAGGAGGGGAGAGGGAAGCGATCAGGAGTGAGTGAAGGACCGCTGTGGAGGACACAAGGGGGCGGAATGCGTGCATGCAGTGCTGTGGGTGATGGTGAGCGCATCCGATGGCATGAGATGGGGTAGGGTGCCGTGCCGTGCCATGCCAAGCACGCTCTCCATAGGAGCCAAGTACCATACCTCGTACCTCAACCTACCACATACCTTCACCTCTCACCTCTCACCTCTCACCTCTCACCTCTCACCTCTCACCTCTCACCTGAACCTCTCACCTCTCACCTGAACCTCTCACCTCTCACCTGAACCTAAATCTGAACCTGGCCTCAACTTGGGGGAGGGGCTCCTTGGAGGGGCGGCTGGCACAGCAGCAAGGAGGGTGGGAAGGAGATGGCAGCGCATTGCAAGGCAGCATGGCGGATGGAGGCTGGAAAAGCAGAGAGCGAGAAGGTGAGAACCCAAGGGCGCGGAGCTTATCTGTTCATCGCGTGTGCACGGTTGCTGCAGGCATTTGCGCTTGCAACCGTGCCGAGGAGGTCTTGGTGTTGCCTTGCGCCTATGAGTTGCCGTGCGCCTGGTTGCTGCCTTGAGTCCTGGTTGGTGGCGAGTGAGGGGCCTCCTGAATAGCACCTGGGAGTGAAGGGTGGAGGCAGAGAGAGAGAAAGAGAATGAGTGCAAGGCAACCATGACTGTAAGGAAAACCAATCGAAAGCTGTGCGAGTGTGGTATGGGGAGTGATTGGTGAGCGTGCAAGGTGCACAGAGGGCCGTGGGCGCACAGAGAGCCGTGGGCGCACAGGCACGGCAGCGTTGAGCAGAGAACCTGCAAGTATCACGCAGGAGTCAGTGAGTGTATTGCAGAAAGAAACAATCCATGCCAAAGAAAAAGCAATGCGGTGAAGAGGTGCGAGTGAGGAGTGTGAGTGAGGCGACCACAGCAGCACAGGAGCCAAATACCACAGGAAAAACACCTCAAGGGGAACCTCAACCTGTACCAACCTGAACCTCAACCTGTACCAACCTGAACCTCAACCTGAACCAGGGGAAAGGGGGGGGGCTCGTGTGGAGTGTGGAGGCAGGAGGGGGCGATACTGCAACCTTCAGCGTGCAGGCAGGTGGTGTGGCTTGGACGGTGCTGCCCGCCGTGAAGCTCCTCTGGAGAGTGTTGGGGCGACCGTGGCACTCGCTTGAAGAGCCTTGGCGCTCCCCTGAACGGCCTTGCGACTTGAGCCGCTCAAGTTGAGCCTTGGGCGAGGTGGAGAGAACCTGCCAAGCACACAAGGAGGAGGAGAGGAAAGGAGTGAGTGCAAGGCTCAAGGAGAAAAGGAACTGAACGGGCTGTGCAAGTGTGGTGTGAAAAGAACAATGGAGGTGTGCATGCGAGCCCAGCACAGCGCCACAAGAGCCATGCAGCAAAAGAAAAACCTGAGGGGGCACCTGAACCTGTCCCATACCAAACCTGAACCAGAACCTTGACCTCAACCAGGGGGGGGCTCTTGTGGACCATGGAGGGCTGGGGTGATACTTGCAACCTTCCAATCCAAGTGTTCAAAGGTGCTCCTCTTCTCCTCTGCTCCTCTGCTCTGATGCTCCTCTGCTACGCTGCTCGTCTCCTCTGCTACTCTCCTCCCCTCCTCTGCTCCTCTCCTCTGTTCCTCTCCTCTCCACTGCTCGTCTCCTGCTGCAGCGGCCAACACAGTCAAGCAAACCTGCCAGAGAAGCGAGGCGAGAGTCAGTGAGTGCAGAACAACAGCCAACGATTCATGCGAGAGAAAAACGAAGTGCTGTGAGAAACAAAAGGTGCGCACATCACAGCACCACAGGAGCCAAAAAAAACACCTCAGGGGCACCTGAACCTGAACCTTGACCTTACCCAGGGGGGGGCTCATGTGGACCGTGGAGGGCTGGGGTGATACTTGCAACCTTCCATGTGCTCGAAGGTACGCCTCTTTTCTGCTCCTATGCTCCTCTTCTCCTCTCCTCCTCCGCTCCTCTTCTCCTCCGTTCCTCTTCTCCTCCGCTCCTCTTCTCCTCCGTTCCTCTTCTCCTCCGCTCCTCTTCTCCCCCGTTCCTCTTCTCCTCTGCTCCTCTTCTCCGCTGCTGGCGCCCACACCACCAGCTTTGTAAGCATAACGGCCTTGGCGTTGTATTGGTCAAAAGAACCTGCTGGCAACACCAAGAGGGAGTCAGTGAGCGCATGGCAGACGGAAGCGAAAGATGCTGCAGCATGCTGGAAAAGGGCAGGAAAATGTGCGAACGGGATATGCACCGACCACAGCACCACAGGAGCTCAGAGAAAACACCTGAAGGGGCACCTGAACCTCAACCTCGACCAAGGGGGGGGGAGCTCTTGTGGACCGTGGAGGGCTGGGGTGATACTTGCAACATTCCATGGCGTCGAGGCTGCTCCTCCTCTGCTCCTCTTCTCGTCCGCTGTTGTGCTGTTGAAGTCAACACCACCTGCCTCGTGAGCAGAAGCACCTTGGTGTTGAGATGCTCGCTCGAACCTGCCAGGGAAGCGAGGAGAGAAGTCAGTGAGTACATGGCGGCAGGCAACAATCCAACGGAAAGAAGATGCGAATGAAGGACAGATGCACGACCACAGCACCACACGAGCCAGGTAGAAATAAAAACACCTGAAGGGGCACCTGAACCTGATCCGAACCTCAACCTCGACCAGGGGGGTGGCTCATGTGGAGAGTGGCGGCAGGAGATGATACTTGAACCTTCACCCTTCATCACTTCCATGAGCCTCAGTCGTCTGGACGCTGCTCCAACCTTCCCCCTTGCAATCCGTCGCCTGGCGCTGCGCCCCTGCCGTGGTGCGCGCCCGCCTGCGCATTTTCAAACGCCATGAGCAGGCCTGGGAGCGTAGGGAGGGCGGGAGACGGGAGGGACAACAGGCCAGAGGGGAGAGAGGGTATGTGTCGGAGACCAGCAGAAGCAGGAACGCGGCAGTGAGGGTTGAAGATATAGTAAACAAACGAAGCTGCAGAAATTTACGAAAACAAAGGGAAAAGGCAGAAGTTTGAGAAGGTATTGTAAACGCACCTCAGAACGCATTCGCGGATTGCGGACTCAAAAGATACGCGGATGGGGATTTGGCGAACAGCGACGCGAACAGAGAACCTCCCGAGGTCAACAACCAGGAATCGCAGTGCGGGACTCAGTCTTGCGACCCATCTCTTGCAGCCGCTCAACTTAAATCTCTGCACGTCAAGGAAAAAGCATGTCGTCGTGAGTCCGTTTTGCGCGAATAGGCGGAACATTTGCGGCTACGAAAATTTCACGCCAAAGCGATCGCACATGAACTCCTGCTGGTGCTTTTACCTGTGGATGAAAATGTCGAAACGCCGGCGCGGTTGGCTCGCGAGGTGAGGCAGATCGCGTGCGGAAAGAAATCAAACGAACCAGCCACGCCTCAGGACGAACGAGCCGGTGGTGCGGTGGTAATAACGAGCTGAAATTCGAATGACTGGGAGAAGGCGAGGAGCGTGCAGCGAGCTAGCTAATGTGCAGCAAATTTGGTGAATCGAACGGAGAATCGCGAAATGAGGGTGCTGAGAGGCACGAGGCCACGGATTGGGTTGGGGTACGCTGGTGATCCGTGGGGGACTGAACGTCATGTGTGACGTTCATGCCGCCTAAATTTCGAACTAAACATTCGACGGTTCAAAATCGCCTTGCTGGCACCTACGGTGGTCCCACATGTGACAGCGTGGACCTTTATCCAACCAATCCGGAAGAGGATAAGATAGTTTTAGCTGCGTGCTCAACCAGTCATTCGGAATCTAATTTTCGCTTTCTCAAAAATTTCCTTGGGAGTTCTTAGTTTGCCTACGTGGGCTTTTTCAATGATCACGGACCCACAGTCCCACGTGACGAAAGCAGCTTTGATAGCAAAAGTCACACTGGCTGACCGAGCATGACGTGTACTTCTAGTAGCACCGTAAACGAGATATCAGGTAGCATGTGGGATCCACTTTCCGCCTTGAAAATGCGGCGGAATGATCCAGCTGCCTCCAAACGGTGGGCGGGAAACTAGTGCTTCGGCGTTTGTGACTGACAGCGCAAGTCGAATTCGAAAACGGGAGAAATGTATGTGGGGCGAAACAGAAGCTGGTTGGGGACTGCCGAACGAAGTGTTGTCATCGGATTTTGCCAGACCCTTCGCTTTGTTACAAATGGAGCATCAAACTACAACAAATCTACATTGAACACTATTTCCACAATGTACATGAATTTAGATCCGCGATTACATTACTATCCTAGGTGTTCATTCTATCCTAGAGATTTTAGCGACATCAATGCAAAACGTACTAGGCTGGAAGTTTAATTGTGGAATGCTTTCACATGATTCACTGGTTGGCAGGTACATCATCTATCTTAAACACCACCTAACTCCAAATGCCACTTCAAACGCCATCATCGAATCAGCTTCACCCTTCTTACCCTCCATCAAAACAACTGCTGAAATGCAACTACACCGCATGCTACAGCAACAACCTACAGTGCATGCTACAGCCAGAGTCCGCATCACATGCTACATCCCAGCCCCAACCTACAGCGCATGCCCATCAATGTAGCTCTTAAGTGCGCTGCTCCTCCCCGGCTGCCTCAGCTTCAGTAGCGCCTTGCCCTCAATCTGCCGCACCCGCTCCCTTGTAACGCGGAACAGCGACCCCAGCTCCTCCAGGGTCTTCACGCGCCCGTCGTCCAGCCCGTACCGGTGCCACATCACCTCCCTCTCGCGCGGCGTCAGCGTGTGCAGCGCGTTCTCGAGGTCCTTGCGCATCAGCTGCTGCATGATCATGTCCTCAGGGTTCTCCAGAGTCGTGTCGGCAACAAACGCCTGGGGAGGATGGGGGGGAGGCATAAGAGAAACGAAGGTGCATTTACTTAGTAACTTCTTGCGCATCAGCTGCTGCATGATCATGTCCTCTGGGTCCTCCAGGGTCGTGTCTGCCACAAACGCCTGAGGATGGATGGGAAGGGACCGCAACATAGGGAGTGGATAGGGCGGTAGGTAGGGTCCTTGCATACCAGCTGCTGCATCATGCTGTCAACAGCATTCTCTCGGGTGCTTCCCACATAGATCGGACGGGTAGTGCAGAGGGCAACTTGAGTTGCACCCTACACCTTGTGATTAGGGGATACCAACCTTCATCCTATCTGGACTTCACAATGCCAACTTGACCCCTGTCATGAAAACTTCCCCATCCCTGCATATGCTCACCCCGAGCATCTCGTCCCTGTCGTCAGAGGCGATGGGGCGGTCCATGGAGGTGGGCGCGCGCACGGTGCGCATGATGCTGCGCAGTGCGTGCTCTTCCCCTTCCCCCAACAGGGCAATAGCGGCCTGACTGACTCCAATCCTCCCCTTACTCACCCCGAGGGTCTCGTCCCCGTCGTCCGAGGCAATAGGGCGGTCCATGGAGGTGGGCGCGCGCACGGTGCGCATGATGCTGCGCAGCTTGCCCCGCGTGATGCCCACAAGCTGCGCCACCTCCCGCTCCGCCGGCGCGCGACCCAGCGCGTCCGTCAGCATGGCCTTGGCGCGGTTGATGCGCGACACCAGCTCGTATATGTGCGCCTGGGGGGGGACAGGGGTAAAAGCGGGGAGGAGTGGGGAAAGGGGGGGAAGGGGGCAGAGAGGGGTGGGGTTGTGGGTGATAGATATAGTCAGCCAATACTGCACACCCAATACTATCATCCGCGGTAATATCACACCCATTTTACACCACCACACCGTTACTGTCACACGCATTGCGAAACACTCACCGGCAGTCGCACGATGCGGCTCTGCTCCGCAACGGAGCGGCTGATCGCCTGGCGGATCCACCAATGCGCGTACGTGCTGAACTTAAAGCCCTTGCTGTGGTCGAATTTCTCCACCCCCTTCATAAGACCCATGCACCCCTCCGTTATAAGCTCCTCCAGCGACAGCCCGCGCGTCGTGTATTTCTTCGCAACGGAAATCACAAGTCGCATGTTCGAGGCGATCATGCGCTGCTTGCACTCCTTCCCCCACGCCACCCGCGCCTGCACCTCCGCGACGGACAGCCCCGCCTCCTGCGCCCACTCCGCGCGGGTCGGCGCGCGGAGCAGCTTTTCCTCTAGCGCCTCCCGCATGCGTTCCAGCTTCAGAAGCACCTGAACGCCCTTGGAGAGATCGATTTCCTCCTGGACTGACAACAGCCGAGGGTTACCACCCGCAGTGTCGAACATCGCGAAAACCGATTCATTCGCCGCCCGCCTGTACCCCTCCGCCACGACCGCATCTTCCGCCTCCGACTCCTCCTCCCCCAGCGCGAGCGCTGGCCCTTCCGCCGCCGGCTTCCTTCTCCCCGCGGGAGCCGCCGCGGTGGCGGCGGCGGTGGCGGCTGACGCGGCCTGGCGCTGCTGCAGGGACTTTTCGCGCTCCGCGAGGCGCTTGCCCTTCTTCTGCGAGCGCACCACCACGCGCTTCGGCTTCCGCTCCGCTTCCCCCTCCCGGTCCGCCTTCCGCTCGGCTTCCCGCGCGCCGTCTTCCAGTGCGCGCTCTAGCCCGTGGTACGCGGCGTCTTCCGCCCACATGACAATCTCCGCAGGGTGAGCATCCTTCCCGCTCACATCACCCCCGCCAACTGCTTGCGCCAAACCGCCTTCCTCCGCCTTCCCTTCCCCTGGCGCCCCGCCTGCCCGTCGCGCCGCCCTCCTTTCGCGAATCGGCTTCGCGGTGCGTTTGACGGCGTGCGGCTGATCGTTAAGACTTGCCCTTGGCGACCTACCCTGGGCCGTCCGATCTACCGCAGATAAGATACGGTCATCCGGGTGCGGAGGTTCCTGGGGAAGATAGTCATGTGGAAGCCGGGCGTACGGCTGGGTTGAGAACGGTTGAAAGGGGGAAGGTTCGACCGGGGACGGCTGGACTGGGGCAGGCGGTGAGGGAGAGGGAGAAGCGGAGGCGGAAGGTAAGGGGAGTTCTGAGCTTAGACTGTCTTCCGCGCCGCGATACGACTCTAAATGCGTGACCTTATCGACGGCTAAGAGCCACATATGATGCAGCTGATCACTGTTCATAATCTCGTCGGCTCCCTCCTCCTCTACCTCCCCCCAGCCTAATAACGGCGAACTTAACGAGCTCTCCTGTGGTAACCCGTATTCGTCTTCATCGTCGTCGTCATAAAGGCCCATCGCCTCCTCCGATAACGACAGCTCCGCGGCTTCCTTCGCAACGGCTAGCGCTGCGCGCGCGAGCGCAAGGGCTTCCGCCGCTGCTGCTCGAGTAGTCGCGGCGGTGAAGAGGTCGTCCGCCAGTTCAGTGGCGCAGGCGGAAGAGGGGGAGGCGGAAGACGCAGAGAAGCGCGCCGAAGAACCGACGGCTGAGCCATTCACGTGACTGCGTGATCCGATGAGCGAGGGCGACGGAAGGAGGGCGGGGAAGGGGTAGCGGAGAGAAACCGAGGTGGGAAGGAATTCACGAGGAGAGAGTGAAGGGATGGACAACGGGGACGCACAAGCGAATGCACGAAAGGATGCACGGGAATTAGCCAATAGGAGAAACGTTGTACCGTCACAACAAGCGTATAAACGACATCCCAGCTACGCAGTGGAACAATGCTACGTAGAACAGAAATCAATCGCCTTTTTTCCAACTATGCGAGTGAGCAGTTCAGAAAGATTTGCCTATCCGGGGAAGGAAACCATGTGAAACCGCTTACTGTTGCGATGAGCTCGCGAGACCGGAATGCAGGGTGATGCGCGGCGACGGCGCGGATACCGTCGCGGGATGCGCGGAGCTGGCTGCGAGCGGCGAACCCGCGGACGACGCGGAGTTGGCGGAAGGCGAGGGGACCTGCGCAACGGGCGATGCTCGTCGGAGAGGGGTTGCTGACGTGGACGAGCTCAAACACGGGCTTGATCCTGTACCAGCGATGGGGTAAAGACGCCGGGAGAGTGCATAGACACGTGGAGAGTGCATAGTCAGATATCAAGGGATTCTCGGTCTACTGATGAGAGACGAAGCGCGTCGACGGACGACGTTGCGTTAGGTGAGAAAAACTTCTGCTTTAGATCAAGCTACTAAAACCCTGCACTGTCCAATACCTGGTCTGTCGACAGTCACGCGTTCCAAAAGGAACTTGCGTTGGAAGGCAGTAGCGGAGACGGCCATTCGGCAGAATCCAGATCCGGCAGGTCCGGACACGGAGCTCCTGTACTTAGGAGTTCAATAAAAGATGTCAAAATGGTGCTGCTGGCTGACCATGGAAAAACCCTGCTTGATGCCAGAAACTCAAGCAGAGCTCAAGGAAAGCAGAGAGGAGAGGAGAGAGGAGGGGGGGAGAGCAGCTGCTGGAGCAACCTGCAAAAGAGAAATCTAAAATCAAGGAGTGGATTTCTTACTCCCTCGAGAATTCCTGACGAGCGGCACTAAAACGAGGGTGGACAATTGCGTCTGGATGAAGTGCAGGCACAACCCGCTCGACACCGAACATTTGTGACTGTAGCGCAATACAGCGAAATCTGTTTGGGTTTGCCTGTCGCACAAATTTTTCGCCAAGCTTCGTTCCTTCTGAACAGTGATCAGGCCAGGAGCCTTGAATCATCCAATAGCTGCATCGTGGCACGCCCGCATTCGTCAACGATGCGGACTGTCGATGCATCTTCGCCGTTTTAGAAGGATCCAACGGCAAGCAGCAAGACTTTGCTGTCCACGTCGATAGCTTCCACAGCGGTCCACGACTTGGCCTATCCGCACGCACTTCAGTTTCGTCGCGCTGGAATTGCGTGGAATGACGTGGAGCTAACACCTCCTGGGCAAGCGTGGCGATAGAGGGGGAGACCCTGGTTTGGCGCACGGGCTGACGCTGACCTGACATCAGGCCCTGTAACACTAAGTAATATCTTAACTATTGATATAGCGCTCAGAATTGATCCTTGATACATAGCCACTATGTCCTACATTCACAATAAAATTCAACTGTCCCGCACTTACTCACCAATCCGTAGGAGCTCCCAATAATAGATAGGAACGGCTTTGGTAGCCAGTCACACTAATTACACGTGAGCCTCTAACACTACACTACAAGGCTGCACACATTGACTGCACACATTGACTGCACACAAGGATGAAACAGTATTAAATAAATACGAGTTGACCTACCATTCTTCAGGAGTCAAAGTCCCACCCACCAAGGTCCACCATGTTCATATCTTCCAAAGTCAACTCAATCTCACTCGGCCATTCCACCTCCGCACCACCCACTATCATAGTCTCCAAACCAGCAACACCGCCAGCTTCCGTTACAAGCGCACCGTGGTTACTGCCCTTTGCCCCATCCACCAAACCACCAGCCGCAAGCACCCCAGTAGCCCCTGCCAAAGCACTCCCATGAGCAGGAGCCACTGCTGCTGTCGCTACTAGTAGTGAAAGGCCAGCAGCAGCACCCGTTACACCCACATCTGAGCCTGAGGGGGCTAGCGCATGTGCATGGTGACTGTGATGGTTGTGACTAGAATGCTGCTGCTGCTGCTGCTGCTGCTGCTGCTCCAGCTCCAGCTCCTGAACTTCAGCAAAATCATCATTTTCTGGCTCAGCCTTCATGTACCCTTCCACACCCAACCCAACCCCTCTCAACCCTCCCTCCACCTTCCCATCTCCAACCCGCCCCACGCCCCCAAACTCCCCACTCCCTTGCTGTTCAGCCAGAAGCTGCATGGAACCCTTTCGGCTGCCCATTCCGCTGCCCATTCCGCTGCCCATGGGGGAAGGCGCCGCACTCCCGTCCCATACCTCATTCTCCGAGCCAAACCCGTCCTCCGTACCTCCATACCCAGCCTGGGCGAGGTTCTGTCCCATACTCTGTGCCATGCTCTGCCCCATGCTCTGTTGCCCTGCGCTCCTGCTCGTGCCGCCCTCGCCGCCCTCATTGTTGCTGTCTGCCGGCCGGCCCAGGCTGCCCGTGCCGACCGACGAGGTCCCCTGGCTCTCGCCCTTCTCCTTCTTCAGAGTCTGGTTCCGTGCAAGCGAGCAAGGGGAGAGTTGAAAGGGCAAATGCGGATGAAGCAAGAGCAACTGATCAACTGATTTGAGACATCTCAGAGTTGCAAGGACGCAAACGGACAGCATCGAGGTTGCTCAATTGAACAAGGTGGCTGAGGGAGAGGCAAGACCGAATAGCATTGAGGGAGAGGCAAGACCGAATAGCATTGAGGGAGAGGCAAGACCGAATAGCATTGAGGGAGAGGCAAGACCGAATAGCATTGAGGGAGAGGCAAGACCGAATAGCATTGAGGGAGAGGCAAGACCGAATAGCATTGAGGGAGAGGCAAGACCGAATAGCATTGAGGGAGAGGCAAGACCGAATAGCATTGAGGGAGAGGCAAGACCGAATAGCATTGAGGGAGAGGCAAGACCGAATAGCATTGAGGGAGAGGCAAGACCGAATAGCATTGAGGGAGAGGCAAGACCGAATAGCATTGAGGGAGAGGCAAGACCGAATAGCATTGAGGGAGAGGCAAGACCGAATAGCATTGAGGGAGAGGCAAGACCGAATAGCATTGAGGGAGAGGCAAGACCGAATAGCATTGAGATTGCTCAAAGGTCGTGCTCTTGCACACACCTGCACTTGCTCCTGCAGCGAGCGCACGTATTGAATGGCCTCATCCAGCATAGATGCCGTGTCTGTGTTGCGCGCATTCATGCTCATCTGTGCTGCGTGCATTCATGCTCATCTGTGCTGCGTGCACTCATGCTCATCTGTGCTGCGTGCACTCATGCTCATCTGTGCTGCGTGCACTCATGCTCATCTGTGCTGCGTGCACTCATGCTCACACCCGCAACCCCCACCTCCCCTCCTGCTCCTCACCTCCACTCACTCACTCCCTCCCCCCTTCACACGCACCTGCACTTGCTCCTGCAGCGAGCGCACGTATTGAATGGCCTCATCCAGCATCGATGCCGTGTCTGTGTTGCGTGCATTCGGCACCAGGTCATACAGCGCCCGCATGCGCTGGCTGATGCGGTCCCGGCGAAGCTGAAAACGGGGAGGAGTGAGGGGAGAGGAGGGAGGGGAGTGAGGAAGGGATTCCAGACCCCTGCATTTGGCACCAAGTCGTACAGCGCCCGCATGCACTGGCTGATGCGGTCTCGACGCAACTGAAGGTGGGAACCGGGGACGAGGAGAGAAAGGAGAGGAGAGTGTAATTTGCCTCCATGCATTCGGCACCAAGTCGCAGGCCCCTCCGTGCTGGCTGATACGGTCCCTTGGAAACTCAAAGGAAAGAGAGGAAGAAAGACAGTGGAGTCTGAGGGGATAGTGGGTCTGAGGGGATAGTGGGTATGAGGGGATAGTGGGTATGAGGGGATAGTGGGTATGAGGGGATTCCAGTGTGGGAAGGAAAGGCAGGGTCTTAATAAAAGGTCCAGGCTTGGCAGGCACTAAGCTTTTGAGGAAAGGCAGGGTCTCAAAACCATCAGCCCACTCACCCGTGCTGCCACTGAGTGCGGATCCGTGGCCGTCCCGCGCTTCTGCCTCTGCTTCTTCGCCTCTCCCCCAGACGCCTCCCCCTGGGCCCCCCCACTTCCCCCCCCAACAGCCGCACCAGCTGAAGACGTCCCCCCACCCGCCCCCGCCCCCCCTTTCTTCCCCCCTGCCCCTCTCCTCGCCCTCCCCCCTCCCCCGCTGTTCGCCCCACTGGCCTGCCCCGAACTCCCCCCAACCCCTCCCCCTGGCCCCCTCCGCCCTCCCCCTGCCTCCCCCCCTCCCTGCGCCTCATCCCCCTGCCCCATAACCTCATCTCTGTCACTCTCCCCCTCCCCCACATCACTACCCCAGGCTCGTTTCCTGCAAGGGCTCTCCCCCCTGAGGGGACTCCGCCCCCGGATGGGACTCTCCCCCCTTAGGGGACTTTCACTTCTCACCCTCTCCCTGCTGCCATCCCTACTGCCCATCCCCACTCCCCCTGCTCCCCCCGCCCCCGCCCCCCGGCCCCCACGTTCCCCACTCCGCCCCCTCCCGCCCTGCCCTGCTGAATTTCCCGGAAGCTGCGGGCTCCTGCCCGGCTTACTAGACCCTGACCCAGACCCTCCAGACCCCCCTCCTTCGAAAACAGAATTCGCAAACCCATCACCTGGGGAACCACCTGAAGACGTAAATCCGCCTGGGCTCTCCCCCCCACCTGACCGCCCAGAATCCGTGCTCAGCGCAGGACTGAGCGTCCGGGCAGACGAACAATTCGACCCGCCCGCCAGCCCAGCAGCACCCCCGCCAGGAGTCCCACCACCCCCGCCCGGACCACCCGGGCTGTTCCCAAGCACACCACTGCTTCTGGCAAACTCTAACAGCTGCTTCTGCTCGGACTCGGGAAGGGAGGAGCTGCCGCTGGAGGTGCGGATGTGAGAGAGAGCAACGCGGCTGCGTTTCCCAGAGTTTTCAAACACCTCGGTGGAAGGCATATCCCCTATGGGCGTGTCTAGGGGCAGAAGCTCCAGCCCCACGTGCCACCCCGCCGGCCGCCCCTGTGCCTTCTCCTTCCCACTCCCACCTCCCCCTCCCCCTCCTCCTCCTCCTGCTGCTCCCCCTGCTGCCGACCCTCCTGCTCCTAGGGGCTCCCCATTAGACCCAGCCCCCAGGGGGACCCCATTCGGGTCCTGTAGAGACGTTCGGGAGGGAGCAGCGTTCAGGCTGGAAGCGCGACCCGCCAGGGGACCCCCTAGAACACCCCCCCCTAGGGTCACTCCCCCTCCTTTTGCGTCTATGCCGCTACGGGAGCCTGAGGCTCCCACAGGGGTGTTTTTCTTCAGAGAAAGGGAGTTGAGACTCCTAGAGGTCATCCCCGCGAAAATATTTTGGCTGCTGCCAGCCGCTGCTGCCCCCGCAGGGCTCATGGCGGAGGAAAGTTTTGCTCTGCTGCCCGAGACTTCTGCGGCTGTGGCAGGGCTCATGCATACTGAGCTGGACTGGCCTGATTCTGACGTGTCAAACTCTAATGTGTCCAGATTCAGGCCGAATCCCGCTATGTTTATCCCCTCTAAAAGATCATTCACTGCACTCGCTTGGAGATTAAATATATTTTTCTCGCTGGTGGCCTGCCTGCCTCCTACTCCCCCTGCTGCTCCTCCTGCTCCTCCTCCTGCTGCTGCTGCTGCTCCCCCTCCCCGGCTTTGCCCTGTTCCCGGCCTGCTTTGAGCTGACTCCTCTAACGCTCCCCCACCACTCGCTCCTGTCCCTCTCCCCTTACCATCCACCTCCATCTCCCCTCCCCCGCCTCCTCGGCTCCCCTCCTGCATATCCTCCCCCCTGCCGTTCCCCCCGCCCCCCACTCCCCCACGCCCGCCCCCTTCCGCGCCCAGCGAATCAGAGAGCTCGATGTTCCCCAGATCCGCTTGCGCCTGGGCGAGAATAGACCCCCACGCCTCCCCCATCTTCCCCTTCCCTGCAGCCGCTGCTGCTACTAACTCCGCCAGTACCTTTTCCTCTACAGACATTCCGCCCTTTCCGCCCTTAGCGCCGCTGCTGCTCCCCCCCGCGCCTATCCCCGCGCCACTGCTGCTGGACTGCGCCTGCTTCCCCCCCATCTGGCGCGGCTGGCTTCCCCCAAACGCCCCCGTTCCCCCTCCCCCGCCACCCCCCTGCTGGCGCATCTGCTGCTGCTTCTGCTGCAGCAGCTGGTTCAAAAGGTCCCCCTGGGAGTCGCTTCCGCCACCAGGGGAGGCGGCGGAGGTGGGGGAGCGCGGAAGGTCAATCCCCCCCCGCCCTGGGGAAACGGGGGCCTGGGCGGAAACCCTAGCTCCCCCTGCGCCTCCACCTCCCCCTCCGCCTGCTGCCTCTGCTGTTGGTCTTGTGCTACTATCCTGACTGACGCTAAACGCGGATGCCTCAGGTGCGCTATCCGCCCTCCCCATGCCCTCATCCGCTCCGCCCTTCCCCCCGCCGACTCCCCCTGCGCCTTCTCCGCCTCCTCCGCCCGCGCCCCCCTTGGAGCTTCCGCCCGCGCCCGCCTTCCAGCTGGGGTTCCGCGAGGAGGACTGGCGGCGCTCCAGGGGGGAGGGGTTGGTTGGCGCGGACGGGCTGGGGCGGAAGGGGGAAAGGGGAAGGGGGAAGGGGGACGTGTGGGGAGTGGGGCCGAAAGGGGAATGGTGAGGGGAAGGATGGGAGGATGCGGGGGCAAATGTGGTTGGATACGCAGTAAATAAAGAGTAAGGTAGGGAGTGGGGTAGGGAGAGGGATAGGGAGTGGGATAGGGAGTGGGATAGGGAGTGGGGTAGAGCGAGGATTGGTGTGAGCTGGAGGGGCAACATTGGTTGGGCAACAGACGATTGGCGCACCAACAAGGCAGGGGGGGGGGGGGGGGGGGGGGGACGCGGAGGATCTGGCATTGTGAGCGGAGGGATGAAACTTTTCTTTTAGCTCCTCAAAAATCGTGTCACGTATCTCCCATGTATTTCTATCCAAGTGTCAACCAGCGTTTGCATGGGCTGCATTGTTCGCGCTTGGCAACTTCATCAATTGTTCCTTGCAGTAAGTACTTCTTACACAGATTCTTACACTGATTCTTACACTGATTCTTACACTGATTCTTACTCCGATTCTTACTCCGACTCTTACTCCGATTCTTACTCCGATTCTTACTCCAACACCCCTAGCTTGTCCCCTTCCCAAGACTCTTTTCCCCCACACAGCGTATGTGTTTTCTTACCCCCATCCCATACTCCTCCGCTCTGACAACCCAAAACTAGCCCCGTCAACTCACCTTTGCCCCTGCAGTTTAGCTGCCAGTGCTTTGCACAGCAGCATATCCTGCACTCCGTACTTGTCCCCGTCCCCATAATCCGTATCGCCTTGTTGACTCGCCATAACCCAGGACTCGCCTCGTCAGCTCACCTTTGTCCCTGCAGCTTTGCGGCCAAGGCCTCACACAGCAGCATATCCAGCACCCCATACTTGTCCCCGTCCCCGCCTCCCGCCGCCGCTGCTAGCGCCGCCGCCGCAGCTGCCGCCGCGGAAGGGGAAGGGCCTCCCCCCGGCCGCGGAGGCTGAAGCGCGGACTGCTGCGCGCGCTGCAGCAGCGGCTGCTGCGCCTGCTGCTGCTGCTGCTGCTGGCGCGGGCGGGGCTGCGGAGGCGTTCCCCGCGGAGCAGTGGCCTGAAACGCATCAGAGGCACGCAATAAAGAGGCACGCAATAACGAGGAACGCAATAAACACGCACGCAATACGCCATACGCAGAAGGCGAGCTTGCCTGCGTTTGCCACCACACGTGAAACCTAATTTCTCTGCCGCAAAAGCTCATATATACGCGTGCAAAAAGGAACACACTTTTACAGACAGATACGTTGCGAACAGAACCCTCTCGTATGCGTTGCGCCAAAGGACTCGTTCGTACAAACGCTGCACGTACCTGGCCTAGCGCGCCGAGCAGCTGGTTCAGCAGCGCATTCTGTCTTGGCGAATCCCCAACCACTCCCAACCCCCCTCCACCCCCTCCCCCTCCTCCTCCTGCCCCTGTTCCTGCCCCAGCCCCTCCTCCACCCCCTCCTCCCCCACCACCACGTCCCGCCCCTCCTCCTCCGCCTCCCCCTCCGCCTGTGAGGGCCGTTACGAGCTGATCCAACAGCTGCTGCTGCTGCTGCTGCTCGTCCATTTGCATTCGCTGCCGCTGCTGCGGAGGCAACCGCTGCCCCATTTGCTGCTGCTGCCGCTGCTGCTGCTGCTGCTGCTGCTGCTGCTGCTGCCGCTGTTGCTGCTGCTGCTGTTGCAGAAGCGGGTTTGGCGGGGTCGACGGCGATCGCGCCACGCCGGTGACCGCCTGAAGTTCCGCTAAGAGCTGAAGCCTCGCTACAATATCTTGCACTGACGGGGATGGCGGGGTGCTCGGAGTCCCGGGGGTCCCCGGCGCAGCCAATGCCCCCAACGCCGCGGCAATCGCCGCCGCGTTCATCCCCCCGCCGCCCCTTCCCCCCGCTGCGCCTAACCCGCCGGTTCCGCCAGCCCTTCCGCTTCCGCTTCCGCGTCCCCCCCCGCCAAGCCCGCCGAGCGCGGCAGCGAGGCTGGCCAGTGATTGCGCCTGCTGCCCCTGCTGCCCCCCCCGCGCGACGCTGGCGATGAGCTGGTCTAAACCGGGGGAAGCGTTTCCGCCCATGGAGAAGGGGGACATGGGGGAGGTTGGCGTGCGCGCGGAAGCATCCGCGGCGCGCAGATGCACCTGGAGGTTCATGGAGGAGATGGGGGAACGGGGGGAAGTTACACCGCCAATGGCGGCATTGGAGGCGCCAGCACCGCCGAGAAGCGAGGTGAGCTCGTGTAACACGGATTGTATTTGCTGGTCCTGGGGAGACGAGCGCTGCTGCTGCGGCTGGTGCTGCGGCTGCTGCTGCTGTTGTGGTGACTGCCGTTGCTGCTGTAGCAACGGCTGCTCCGGCTGCCGGCGCTGCTGGTTCTGCTGGTTTTGGTTCTGTTGGTTTCCCTGCTGTCGTTGAAGCTCTTGCAGCAGCTGCTGCAGCTGAAGCACGTCCTGAAGAGTAGAATAAACGACAGAATGTGAAATAGAGATTTGAAGTAAATCAATAGAAAAGCACGTAAGGTACAGAGAGGCACACAAATGAAACGTAGATTTGCAGCTAGCACAAAAAATTGCCAAGAGACTCGGTATGGCACGCAATCAGAAGTGAACATGGAAAGAGGCGGAGATCCGTGAAGCTTACTTGCGGCGTGCTTCCCATCGCGCTCCAGTTTATTCTGTTCGTCGACTATTGTTACGTTCTCTACCTGCCTCGAAACCAGTTTCTTCGACTGCTGATCCCTGGCGCGCCGAAAGCCGTTTCTTCGTCTGCTGCTAGCGTTCTAAGGGCCGTCTTGGGAGCTCGAGTGGGCTCTACTGGTCCCACGCAAAGGCTTTCACTTGGTAAGAACTTTGCAGATTTATGGCTGTATAATAAATACTGAAGTTCAGGCTACATGGTGCAAACAGCTAGATTGTGCGTGCTGTTTCCCGCAACAACGGAGAGCATCTAAGGGTCGCAACACGCTTCAGTGGAACGAAGGAGCGACACGGATTCATGGTTGTTCATTCGGACATGCACGGACCGCACTGAAACGCGCATAAGGATGACGTAATGGCACTGTGCGCTCCAAATCGTGGCGATGAGAGTAGCACGGCTTCAGTGCCACGACGACTCGTGTAATCGTAGGAAGGAAGCCATTCAAAGCTTCTGATTCCCACATAAGATTGAAGAAGTATGGCTCAAAGACCGTCAGGCACGCTGCAATAAGCTTCCAGACCAGACATACTTTTTGCCAGCCTGACACTCTGTCACGGGTTGAAGTTGGTACTTACCAGACAACCGTACATGCCTCGTAAAAAGAGGCAACGATGGCAAAGCAAGTTTAGGGCGTGAAACATTTGGGCTTTGAAACGTATTGGCAAATGGACCATTTTCAACCGTTCAGAAGGTACGGTTCGTCTGGAAATTTTTCCAAATGTTGCACGCCCTTAGCAGTGAGGAAACAGGTTCAGCAGAATTGCGATCCAGAGCAGCAGCAGAGATGCATTTGACGAGCACCAACCCCAATGTTGGGCTTCCCCTTGAAAAAGTCCTGCTTTTTTGGGACCTTCGCACCACAGGAATTCTGATGAGAGTACTTCCCTACAACAAATTCCAGGCTCGGGGTTATTCTTAGGAGGCTTTGAATGACGCTTACAGTGGAGTGCACAAATGTGAGGCAGGAAGTGGTGAGCATGTGTCATACACGCAGGGAGACTTTCTTAAGCGAGTGTACTGGTTTTGCTGTATAATGAGGGAACAGATGAGAACTTAGGTCCACATTTTTGGAATTCCTGGTTGAGCTGGATGTTGAATGTGAAATCAGTGTCCCTGTCTAGAAGGATTCTGGTTCTTGTTGCCCACATCATTCAGGTTCTCTGGGTAATAGACATGCCAGAAAACAGCCTGGTCCAACCAATCTTCAACTGACACTGCAGCAATTTCGTGGTCTACGCCAGCCGAGACAAGTAATAAGAGCTTTGTTGGGCGACTTGGTTTGGGACCACTATGATTGGTCTGGAAGATTACCTTACCCATCAAGCCACAAAAAGCCTGTGGTGGTATGGGAAAGTGCTGAGCTGATGAAATCGAGGTGACAGGTTGGAGAGTGGGGCAACACGCAGTTTGGTTGCTAATTTGGTGAACAATCAAATGTCGGGTATGGAATACACCTAGTCCGCGGTATTTTAGCCGGCGCTATCTTAACCACGCGAGGGTACTTCTCCTTTCTCAAACTTATTTAGTTGGGTTGTTTTGAACTTTACGAGGGTAGAATCCAGCATTCCCTTCGCGAGATGACAGCAGAAAAAACTCAGTGAATGCCGAGTGTGACAAATTTCAATCCGTCTATCTTGGAGCACTAAGTGTGAGTTCCTTAGACGGAAGTGCTTTCGGCTGCAGAATCGTAGCCTCGATGACTCTGGGTGCTATTACGATTACCCAGAAACGAACAAAGAGGGTTTGAAAGAACAAAGTTCACCTGGTTAAAATACCGCGGACTAGGTGTAACTGAAAAATAATGTGCGGGGCAGCTTTGGCGGCGGAGAAAGCCCTTGAGTGTCGTTGACAGAAAGTCGTTCATGGTTGCCAATGGACGTGTGGTTGGTTGCGACGATTCCATCAGCGTTGACGCCGTGTCACTGTTTTTCGTCAACGGATGTGCACGCAAGTGCTTTCGCCAAGGTGGAAGCGTTTTTCGTGTTCTGCTTCCCTGCTTAGATGACCTTCCTGGGCTGTCCCAACTTCGAACTTGGGACAGCAAAAAAGTGCACTTAACACGTGCAAGAGATTGGGCAGGTGATGAGGTGGAGGGAGAACAAATCTGGACGTCGCAATTGTTCAGAGGTCCCCAGCGTGCGAAAACCCCACATGATCGGACGGTTAAGCCTGACCAATGAGAGCTGAGAAGCGATCACAGATCGTAGATGGAGTCGTGCAGAAAGTTTCTATCGCACACTGGAGAGTGGGTGCGAACGTGAAAGCAACGTGAAAGCCGCCACGCTGGACCCAGATATTTGGACTTTGGGGGCTGTCCTGTCCCAAGTTCGCAGGAAGGCGATCTTAGAAGAGATTGTGGATGGTTTCCGGGCCTTAACAAAGCATTGCTTACCGAAGTTCACAGTTGCGACTCACGATGTATGGATGTAATGGTGCAGTAAGTAAGGAAATTCCCCTTTCCTTACTTAGCGTCCCTGCTCAACGCGTACATCACTATAGCACCTCAGTCAGCACCGTTACCACTCGCGACCATCGCATCATTCATCATCCCGCCCTTTTCGCACATCGCATCCCGACCTCACGGCTCGGCTGGTAACCCGCGCTCCGGGCCTACGCTTCGACACTTTCCAAACCTCAGTCCCAGGCTCGTCGCGCGACCATTACCGTTACCACTATAGTTTAGCTATATAATGTTCGCTCATGCCTTCGCTCAATTGTATTCTTGCTTCGATAGTGCAATTCTCGTTCGTTCACTCAATTGCACTCGTAACACTTGGTATTCAGAGCCTACGATCTCATCTCGGACCGCATCCACACCTTCGCTTCCCACTATCTCAATTTTTGGGGGGGTAGACGTCTCTCAGCGACACAGCACCGCCGCTCTCTCGAAAGCACGCACGGCCACGACCGAGGCTCTCGCTGAGCTTGCCCGACACCCCCGCCATGGCCGATTTCAATCTCGCCACGTTGACGCAGGAGCAACTCGATCGTCTCGTGCGTCAATTGGAGGATTCGGCGCTCGAAATCGCGACTCTCACGGCGATACATGACTCCGCCCGTCAACAGTCAACGGTGAACGTACCGATGACATCACACGC